TCGTAATTTATATTAAGATAAAGTAAAAATATAAAACACTAAAAACTAACGTATAAAAAGAATGTTTGAATAAATTTCAAAGGCTTTAAAAGCCTTATATTTGAAAAATTCATTACGAATTTAAGATAATACAATGAACATGAAAAAATATAACTTATAGTATAAGTCTTATACTGGAGTGTTGATAACTTGATATGTAAGGATCATACTTCAAAGGCTTTCATAGTTTCATTTTAAATTTTCATTGCATAATAATACTCCAAATTAATCTAACAAACTAAAACATTAAGCTTAAATACGTCTAATAATTTTAAAATAATACAAATTGTCTCAAATCAACTTAAATACGAATTTTTGGAGGACACTCAAGATAACTCTTCATATGCCTCCTTAAATAGCCTGTGCCCTCCCACTTTCGACGAACATTTAAAACTCGACCGCAGTTCTTGCACTTTACTTTGCAAATTTTTTCATTTTCTTCTACCACCTCAAAATGTTCCCAAACACGAGACATGATTTAACTTGAATTGAGAATTTGAGTTTGAGAATTGAGATACGAATGAAGAAATGAAAAAGAAGGAGGGGGGGGGGGATCTATTTATAGTTTTTCAAAGGGCTAAATTAGTAAATAATAAAAGTATTATTTTTGGAGAGAAAATGCCCAAAAAGGGGCTATTCTTGCAAATTAGCCGTTGGGCAATAGTCAAAATGGCAGCTGACCGTTGCCAAATGGTCAACTTTATAAAATAAATAAATTGAAATAGTCGTTGAACCGGTCTGGGCCGGTCCGGTTAACCGATTCCCAAATGACTTGACCATAACGGGTCGTACCGGTCCGATTAACCGGTACCAAAAATTTACCTGGCACAGACCGGTTCCCGTCCCAACCCAGCCCGACCCCCTTACTACCGGGTCGGTCCGATTTAAAATCGGTCGGGCCGATCCGGAACCGGGCCAGCCCGACCCGTTTGACACCTTTACATGAACCTACTGAAGAAGTGTCTGAACCAGTGGGAGTAAGAAAATCCTCAAGAGTTCAAAATCTAGCAATTTCTAGTGACTATATTGTATATCTCCAAGAGTCTGATTATGACATTGGACTAAAAGATGATTTATGCTCTTTTTCACAAGCCATGAGTGGAGAAAACTCCACACTTTGGTATGATACAATGAAAGAAGAGTTAGAATCTATGGCTAAAAATAAAATTTGGAATCTCGTCGAATTACCAAAGGGGTCCTCAGCTATAGGTTCCAAATGGGTCTTTAAAACTAAAAGAGACTCATCTGGTAACATCGAACGATATAAAGCCAGACTTATAGCCAAGGGTTTCACTCATAGGGAAGGCATTGATTATCGTAAAACCTTATCTCTAGTATCAAAGAAGGATTCACCGAGAATAATCATGGCATTAATAGCTCATTTTAATTAGAGTTACATCAAATGGATATGAAAATAACTTTCCTGAATGGAGATCTTGAAAAGGAGGTATACATGCGTCAGCCTGAAGGATTTTGTGATAAAGATAAAAGTCACCTTATTTCCAAGTTGAATAAATCCATTTATGGGCTAAAGCAGGCTTCCCGCCAATGGTATATTAAATTTCATAATGTTTTTTCTTCATTTGGATTTACGGAGAACATCATTGACCAGTGTATATATCTTAAGATAAGTGGGAGCAAATATATTTTTCTAGTCCAATATGTGGATGACATTTTGCTTACAAGTAGTGATTTGGGGTTGTTGCACGAGACTAAACAGTTCCTTATCCAGAATTTTGAGATGAAGGATATAGGTGAAGCCTTTTATGTCATTGGCATAGAGATTCACAGAGATAGATCCCAAAGATTACTTGGACTGTCTCCAAGGGCCAACATTGAAAGAATTCTGAAAAGATCCGGGATGAAGAGCTATTCACCTATAGTAGCACCCATAATTAAAGGTGACAAATTCTCATCGAATCAATGTTAAGGCATTCCCTATGCTTCGCTTGTTGGAAGCCTTATGTATGCACATGTCTGCATTATACATGATATTGCTTTTGTGGTAGGAATGCTTGGTAGATATCAAAGTAACCCTCGTCTTGACTATTGAAAAGCTAGTAAAAGAGTTTTGAGATATTTGCAAGGAACCAAGGATTTTAAGCTCACATACAAATACTCTAACTCATTGGAAGTTATTGGATATTCAGACTTTGATTTGGGTGGATGCAAAGACTCTGGTAAATTCACTTCAAGATATATTTTTCTTCTTGCTAGAGGTGTTGTATCTTGGAGAAGTGTCAAGTAGACAATTGTTGCAACATCCACTATGGAAGCTGAATTTAAAGCATGCTATGAAGCTACATCACAAGCGTTATGGTTGAAGAACTTTATTTCCGGCCGTAGGATTGTCGATTCCATTTTAAGGTCATTGAGAATCTTCCGTGACAATTCAACTGCAGTGTTCTTTTCAAAGAACAATAACAGTGGCAGCCGAAGCAAGTACATCGACATAAAGTACTTGATGGTTAGAGACTATGTGAAGAATCATGATGTAAGTTTTGACATGTTAGTACTACTTTGATTATTGTTGATCCTATGACTAAAGGTTTGCCGACTAATATTTTCAAGGATCATGTAACCCATACGGGGCTTAGTAGCTCAATTTAGTATTGCTTTGCTCTAACAGTTTGTCTAGACATTATGTTTATTTGTATACATGACAGTGCACACTTGATTTTTCATGTACTATTTTATGATCATTGGATCAATAAATTAAGTTGGACTCTGAATGACTTATATTAAGTTTACTCATAAGTTACACTTTGTTAGAACATATTATACATTGTGATGTATGGAAAAAATTGTTTATTTAAGAGTATGACCGCTATAATTCATGTAATGATATATTCTAGTTAAGGTGATTGTTGCATAACTTTTAGTTGAGTGATAAATTCTAAGGCCATATTGTTATGTTTATCTCTCATAAAGGGTTATCTGATTTTAATATGTGGGCCAAGTGAGAGAATGTTAGAAACTCACCGTCTCTTCTAGAGACTTCTAGTGTGGCCTATATATTAGGTAATAAATAATATATTAGATAATATTCTGTAGTTATGCATATATGGTAGTTTCTTTGATGGAAAGAAACGTTTTTATTAGGAGTCCCTAGGGCAACCATAATTTATTGAGAAGTCCCTAGGACTAAAGTATTTGTCTAAGAGTCCTTACCCTACCTATTAATACGCCTGTGACTCCATCAGTTTGG